TATGTATTCAAGCTGCTGAAATTTCACTTGATTCAAATAATGAATTAATCAATTTTACAACTAGTTTACAAAAAGAAGCACTCTAGAGACGGAATTAATGATTTTTAAACAATTTATAATCAAATAGTGAATTCAAATAATTATTATAAGTAGTAAACATATTATTATTATAACATTAATTTAACTGAAATCTATGAAATTGATTTATTATTATGAATTATAAATTGAAAATATTTCTATCAACTTGTAAATTAAATAAACTATAATAGAATATGAAAAATAAATTTAATTTAAATAATTTAATATATTCATACATTATTGTATTAAATATGATAAGGTTTTCAAAAAAATTTGTATTATTAAATCAAAAACAATCATATTTAATAATAAAACAGAGGACATATTGCATAATGATAATGCTATGAAGGAATTTGGAATCTGTAGTATGAAAGTGTGAAGGAAATTTTGGATTGGGATATCATTAAAGATAACAATACAAGTAGGTCAACTATATAGTTGATTCTAAAGATATATTCTTGATTACTTTTAAATAAGTGTCAAAAAAACTGAAATAAATTTCTATACAATTTATAGTTAATCGATGACAGATCTAACTGAAGCATTCCAGAATCATTGCTTTTTGCATAGAGACATTAAACCTGATAAATTTTTACTTGAGGCAAGCTCATTACCTATAGTGATTTATCTAATTGATTATGGACTTTCAAAATACTATATTGTATAATTAGATGTAACTAATATAGAATTCAAAAGGGGATCATATCTAATAAATTTAGATAGCAAGTTTGATTGGTACTGCCAGAAATGCTAGCATTAGTGTTCATGATGAAATAGAATAATTAAAATATTCAAAGAATTCAGAATTTTAAGTTGTTATCGTTAACATAATATTAGCTTATGTAGAAATATTATTCATAGTTTTAGTCTTTAAACTGTATAAATTTATTTGTTCTCAATCTACTATTCTTTATGAAAATAAACAATTTAAGGAAAATTATTCATCATTATAGAATCAAAACTAAAAATCATTTAACTAAAAACTATTGCATTGTTAACTTGATTCATAAAGCATTGTTTATTTCTTTACAGTCTATTTTTATGAATTACCATTGCTATAAACATCCTTTTTTTGTTAATCCTACTTTTCAAATTTAGCTTTGATTTTTTAAGAAATTCCTATTGAAACTGATATTTATCTACATAGCAGTTCCTTACCTATGCATATTCATAATATTCATTACGTTAGTTATATATAAATTTTTGAAGAAAAGTATATAATTGACTGGATTATTCTATTTTGATAGTTTTTTCTATATTTGTATAGTTAGTGTTTTTGTTAAAACATTTTTATGAATATATGAAAGAAAGATATTAATAATAAAAGAATATATTAAGAAATAAAAAGAACTATTTTGATAACCTAAAATCATAAATGAACATACGGATATAAAGCAAATTAGATTTGAGAAATAGAGGATATCAACTTCAAAACAAGATTTAAAAATTTGGAGCTTTCATGAAGGCAGACTTTAATTAATCTAATAATTGAAAGTTCATTCAAATAATATAATATACTTATCATTCACTCATTTATAACATTACATTATTGAAGTATGAATGAATAAAATTAATTAATATCTTAATCTGCATTCAAATAAAATATCTTGAAAATTTATTATATTAATTTCAATTAAACCAATTATACATATGGAAATGTATTCAAGTAAGTATTGATTAAAAATATTATAATCATTTGATACACACTAAGATAGTGAGCTTTCTGCATGTTTAAACTAATTATTAATTATATTAGTCTCTTGTAAACAAGATTAATAAATAATTTATTTAGTAAAGAGACTAGTTAATAAATATTAATTAATTAGATTATAATTATAATTTTAGTAATGATTTTGTAATCTATTTTTCAATCACTTATTCATAAAAAGTAGCAAAAATCATTTTTATGATATTTTTTATCTATTACTGTTAAATTAGATGCAAGAGATA